TGGCCAATTAGTTTTGCCACCCGAAAATGTTGCAATATTTTACACTCGCCGCGTCTGGGAAATGCAGCTGGAAAAACTGTGAACGTGAAGTGTTGGAGTTGCACAGTGGGGCCATGTGGGCAAAAGGCGTGACAAAAAATCAATAAATGTATTTTAGATAAATAAATTGCATCATAGCTTTGCAATTTTGCACCAAAATGTGTGCAACTTCTCCACTGTGCGACGCACCATATCAAAAGCCAGTTGCTGCTGTTGCAGCTAGTTGCTGCTGTTGCAACCAGCATGAAACATTGCCGGGCGTTGCCAAGCGACATACACACACACGCACATTCACACATGCACACATGCATCAAAAGTTTCTGCTGCAAATTTATGTGGGAGATTTTCAGACGGCAAAACTTGACTAAAACTTCCTGTTTTTTTTCAGGGCTTAGATCTATATAGATAAGCTAATAGACAACTATAAAGTTCTTTTAATGCACAAATAAAGTTTTCTAAGTTGAGTGCACTTGCTGCAAGTGCAACAACTTTTTGCACTCACTGTTGTGCGCCTATAAGTATTACATCAGCTTGCAAATATGTGGAAAAACCTGAGCCAACTGAGCCACACATGCGCAGTTGCTAGCAGTAGCCGCAGCAGTGGCTACAACAACAACAACAAACTGAAAATAGGGCTTAAGGGTGACCAGTTTTTTATTTCAATGTTTTTGGGCTTTAGGCCAGCTTTGTCCGTCTCGCTGTCTTTCGGCTATGATTAAAAACTAAAAGCCAAATTAATATGCACTGTTGCAGCAGTCGCCCATTCGGACTTTCACTTTTTGTGTTTTCATTTACAGAAACAACAACAAACAACAAACAAACAACAACAACAAGTAAAAAGAAGACAACAAAAAGGGTAAACTGAAAATACTCTGTAATCTATGCCCATGCTTAAAATCAATTTCAATTGCAGTTTATAATTTATTTTTCGGCAGTTTAAGCCCACAAATTGAGACATATTTTCCGAATCTTGAACTGATTGAGCATCGCAGTTAATTGCTGTCGCCAGTTACCTGTCTGTGCTACCTGAAGAGCTGCCGCAACAATGACTGCAGTTACGCACACTCAATTGCGCAATCGCCCATTTTTTTAAAGCCATTTCTTTGTGTTGCTTTTATTTTGTATTTTTTTTTTTTTCATGCGAAAGTAAATATTTTTATATTTTGTGCCACTTCCTGTTTTTGGGTGCCTTTAGTTGTTATAGTAGTTTGATTCATTAATCAAGCGTTTGACAGCGCGCATTAAAGAGGGCACTAAACGATGCCAGCACCCGTTACCTGTTACACACCTGATCTGCTCTGCAGTTACCTCACGGACTACCACCCGAAAAGAAAATCGAACTAACATTTATTTCTCTTTGCTGGCCTGCAAATTGACCACAGGGCACTGCGCCCCGAGTTGTGTTCGATTATAATCTATTTAAGCCGAAGCCTAAGCCATTTAAACATTTAATTTTCCCTCAGTGCAGACGGAATTTTAATTCTAATTTATAATAGAAAAACTTTCATCAATTGAAATTGAACTTAAAGTTTGTTGTGCTAGTAGAAACGAGCTGAACTCTTGCATAGAATATAAATATACTTATACATAGATCTTCTTGTGCTGCCTCACTCAACTCATGCAAAGCTCAGCCCAGCAGCTAGAAAGTTAAATTTTTCTTATAGCTAATTTATGGGATGTAAGTAATGTGAATAATGTTTGCATGGATGCCTTTGAGCATATGTACATATATGATATAAGTATATATGTAGGTATATAGATGCATATACATGTATGTATATAGAGATGCATGACACATCTGAGCCTGAGTCTGTCACTTTATAGGAAATTTAAGATTTTTATGCACGTATAGGTGCACATGTATGCATGTGTTAATGTGTGTATGCATGCCCGCATATATAAGTGCATGCATGTACTGTTGAAATTTTAACTAATGGTGTATGTATTCAGTTAAATAAGTTACCTTTCCAAATGAAAGTAACGCATGCATGCATGTATGAGTAGATTTGCATGTATGTGTTAATGTATGCATATATATGTATGTATAGGAATTTATGTAATTACTGACAAGAATACATATATTCCTATAAGCAGCAGAAAAAGCCAGACTTTCTATGCGATTCTCATAAGTTGAAGTTAGCTAGCTTAACACTTTCACAACACTTAATTGAATTAAGTTTGTGCTTTAAGACAATGGGCTGTCAAGTGAAACGTTAGAGACTGGTCATTTAGGGACTTGGCATTGCTGCAACAATGACAAACAAAGGCTAATCTAATCGAATGTGACGCTGTGGCAACTCCTAAGCCACAAAGGCAACAGCAGAGACAGCGAGAGAGAGAGAGTGAGAGAGGAAGAGAGAGAGGGACTGCCAGAGTGATTAGGCGAATGGCTTAAGGCCTGGGGTCATAGCTAGAGCCAGAGAAAGAATTGCAACAGTTAAGTGCAGCGTATTCGATTTCCGCTAAATGGACAGCGCTGGCTTTAAGGAAATAGAAGTATCTATGGGCAAAAGAGATCTAATGGATTCGCAGTAGTTACAATGAAATGTAGACCCATGATTTGTGCACAATTAAGAATGGGAAGTTAGGTAAGAGCTGGTGAGAACTTCAAGCAAGCACACACACACACACACATACACACGCACTCTGATAGCTCTCTGTGTGCCTGTACTGGTCTTCCTGCAGACAGAGGCTTGATTTTTAATTACTGACCAGAGCACTGAACTTGGGGCAAACACATGGCAATTGGCAGTGACTGCCGCTGCGGCTGCTGTAATTGAAGCAAACTTTGTAATTTTAGCTGACTGTGAGAAATGCCAGTGGGCGGCGGCGATTGCCGAGGGGCGTGGCGTGTTAAGCTAAGCTTAGCTGGCCCCGGCCCTGGTGTGAAAGTCGCAAAGAGTTAGGGCAACTAGTTCGAGTTACCATAAAATATGCAATGCGCAACACGCATCGTGACCGTAACCCAGGCGCTGCCCGCCCGAATGCAGATACATTTCGAGCAGATACATTTCTACAGATACCTCAGAGTTGATCACCTTGAGTTCGAGCCGTAGCATATTTCATGTCACTTTTATTAGCGCCGAGCGGCCATTGTCTGCCTGTATATTTCATATCAAATTTTGAAACTTTGCGAAGCGCTCGTACTGAAGAAGTTTATCAAATTACGTTAAAATAAAATAAACTTTTAAAAGTTTCTTTTATGTGGGTCAACAGTGCAAAGTGTCGCCAATTTGGCTCAAAGATTTGTTTTTTTTTTCCTGATTTTTTTGGCTACTTTTTGACGGCGAATTCAAGTGCCGCCCCTCGGCAAGCGGGCAGACAGTCTGAGTCAGGTGGCGCCCTCTGGCGACCATTGCGACTTCCTTTCGCTTCGCTGCGGCTGCTTTTATGCGATTCCCTCTATCTGTATTGCTTACTCGCTCGCTCTCTATACTAATTGAATTATATTGCACGTTTGAGCCTGAGCCCTGACTTCATGCTTGATGTGTTCTTCTTGCGACTTGCAACAGCCTTTATGCGGATGTTTGGTAACTGAATTACGAACGAAAAACTTTGTCTATTTGATTGGCAACACTTTATATATCGACTGAGCTGTTTTACCACTCACAGAGCAATTATTTATGCCTAGATATATATTTCTATTGCACAGCTGTGTTATCTGTTAATTATTTATTATTGTTATTTTTTATACGCCAGCTTTGTTCTGCAACTGCTTTTAAGCCACGTTTCGATTGTTTAATCAATTAAAATCTGATTTTAAAGGCCTTTGTCTATCTAGTGCTCAGCTTAATCAGCAGTTGATAGCACTGATTAACAAGTGTGACTAAGTGCTGAGCTGTTAACACGGCTACCAGAGAAAGTAACTACTAAATTTTGCAATATAAATATTTACAAATATGATTTCATAATAATATTGTATAAATAATAATATGTCAAATATTTAAGATACCTCTTAGCTGGTCTTTCACTTCACAGCGTACCATAACGTCCACACAAGTTTGCATGCCTCTTGTGTTTAGAACAGTTTAACTAGCTAATTGCAAATGGAGCAAAAAAAGTGAATCCACAAATCTTGCAAAAATCAGCACAAAAGAGAGATAATAACAAACACAGAAAAAAAAACGAATTTGTCGATTCTTGCTTTTTTTCTCCGCTGTCCCCTGCTTTCCGTTGCTTTTCAATAAACAATTTGAATTGCTTTAATGATTTTTCCTGTTCGATAAACTCGTTCGCAGCAGCAGAAGCAGCAGCAGCAGCCGAGCAGAGAGTTAGCGAGAACGAGAGCGAGATCGAGAGCGAGAGAGAGACAGAATACGAGTTTCAAGATCAAAAAGCGAATGGCTACAAATGCGCAAAAGAACGATACGAAATTGCAAGCAAGAAATACAAAAAGAGTAAAAACAACAACAACAACTGCAAATGGGCTACGAAAGTATTTGCAAGCCTTTCACTGCACCCAACAAAAATTAAGAACAACACAGTCAAAAACGGGGAGCAGAAGAAGAGATAAAATATTGTGAAGACCGCAAAGAATTGACGCGTAAATGACAATTGAAAAGTGGCACAAGTTGCAACGGTAAATAAAGGAGAAGGAGAGAGAGATGTTAAAGCAGAAGGAGTTGGGCACATTCACACACACACACACGGACAGCATAGGCGAAAGGGGGAGGCAGCAGCATTCAGCAATCGGAGAAGAGCTAGAAGGCAACGACGCAAAAGCGTGTGCGTATCCACCACTGAGCCTTGGGTTGGGCATTGGGGTGGCTGCTCTGGGTGTGGGCGATTCAAGTGGGTGGCTGGGTGTCAGCTGCTGAGCAGCAGCAGCAGCAGCATTAGCAGCAGAATCAAACTCTCTGGCGCTGCTTGCTCTGCTCTTTTGATTTATGCATGCTCACACACACACACGTATACGAAAATATATATGTATGCATGAGTGTAAAACTAAAAGTCAAGCTTACCTGAAAAGTTCTTAGCACGCGTTCGGTAGCGAGCTTATGGAATATTAATAAAAAGAGGATGCGTAAAGCGACGAAGGTCCTGTTGATGTGTTTGCTGCAATGATTGTGGGAAAGAGCATTTTATTTTGTATACATTTAGGCATATACATATGTATGTATGTTTTCTTATTCTCATGCATTGTGTAGACAGCTGAAAATATTGTATTCTGTTTCTGTTAACCTTAGCCAACAATTTGTTGTTAAGTTTTTTGCTTTAGTTTTTCGTATTGATATCAATTCATGTTTAAATGATTACTTCGAAATTAAAGATTAATTTTCATTGATGGTTTCTGCTCAGTTTTGTTATGGCTGCTTTAACTGGGATCTGTTTTGATTGAGCGCGCGCAAAAAATTATACACAAAATCAGCAGCACACACACACACACTCACACACACCTACACACACATAAACAGAGTTGGAGGCGCGTAGGCACCCAGAAGAGACGCACCGAAAGCTTGGACGAAGCGTATGCTGGAGGCTGAGAGCACAGTAACAGCCAACTCCCGCTTGAGCGATTCTAGGCAGGCTCACACACTCACTCACTCACGCACGCAGAGACGCAACTGCGATGACAGCAATAACAACAACAATTCCGACCACGACAACAACTACGACCGACGGCTGCAAACTGCGATGCTCGCTTTCAATATAGCCCCGATACGAATCTGTGAGCGCAAGCAACACTATGTCAACTGTTTGGCCCGTGCACGCGAACTGAAACTGAAGTGCCCAACATCAGAGCTAGAGAGCTGGAGAGCTGGAGCTCAAAAGCACAAGCTCAAAGAGCTGAAGCCAGAGGCGCGGACAGCAAGTTTACAGAAGGGGCCATAATGAAAAAGTTGACAAGAAGCAGATACGAAGATAACAGTTAAGTATAGTCAAATATAATTGGAATTAACTAAATACAGTCATATTAAAAGTTCCTTTTGATATATTCAACTAATTACTTCTTAATACAGAAACAAAACAAAAACCCTCCCTGAGTACGCCAATGTCTGTCTGCACAGCCACATGCATATAAATAGCAGGTTGGGCCAGCTGAAAGCTTCTAAGCAGCGCACAACAGTAAGCGCGTTCAGCGCTTGCAACGGCGAGCTTTCGAGGTGAATTGATTGCGCTGGACAGAGAGCTTTCAAGTATTGCTTGCGGTGAACTGACCAGACAAGAGCGTTGCCAGAGCGTTGTTGTCAATGGCAGTTACAATTACAATTTTGAATATGTAAAAAGCTTTTCATGAAAATTCATGTTAAGCAAAACAACTTCAGAGCATTTAATCAAAACAAATAAAATAATATCAAATAATTTAGTAAAATATTGAATAACTTATAATTAAAATGAATCATTCGGATTGCTTTGCAGGTGCCATACAAGATTTTCTAATATGCATTACAGTGCATAAGGCGGCAGAGACGGGCGTGCCCAACGGAGAGCTGTACGTAAAAATCTGCTTAGATAAAATGACCAAAAATACGAAAACTCAAACGAACTCCGAGAATCCATTCTTTAATGAGGTAAGCAGCAAATATACATATATGCACACTTAATCATAATTTATATCTCTTTCAGTATTTTGTATTTGAGTTCCACTGTACGCTCGCTGAGCTGTTGCGTCTGACTGTGCTCTTTGAGCTGAAAAGGTATTTGATGTACAAGAAGAACACGAACATGGGTGAACTGATGATTGATTTGCATAGCGTGTGGAATCAGCCCAATCACTGCTACTTCAAGCGATGGGGTCGACTCGAGGCGCCTCTGGGGGAGCATCCCTTCAAGGGAGGCGAGCGCGAATCGTGTGGCTATCTGCAAATCGACTTGGCCATCGTCTCGCAGCACAGCGCTGTGAAGACAACTCCAACTGCAGATGAACCTGAGGAGCTGATCAAATGGCCAACGCATCATGACTTTGACGATATCAAGAGGTAAGGGATCTAGTCAGCTACATTTTCTGCTAAATAAATCCGTGTAGCAATCTCTTAGAGGACGTCGATTCGGATACCCTGAGAAACATTCGTTACTTCATCAGCTTCTATCGTGGCATCTTCACGAAGCGGAGTAACTACATGATACAAGTATCATTCGCTGGCTTCAAAGTATCTGCATTACGGCATTGACTTTAGTTTTCGTTTTGAGTAAAGTCCACTTTCCATCCATTATAGGGCAAAACGGCTGTGCAGAAGAATACATTGACACCGGTGTGGAATCAGGAGATTAGTTTTGCATGGGTCTTTCCCTCTCTGGCCCAGCGATTTCTCATCTTGGTTATGATGCAGGAGCACATGCAATGGAAATGTATAGCGCAATATGATATGTCTTTCGATGAAATTGCTTTTGAAGGTAAGTTCTGAAAGTATTACTTCAAATATTAAAAAAGAATCTCTATTCGCTCCTTTTATATTTCGGTAGACAAGCCCTCGTTTGGACCAACTTATTTGCATCTGTACGATCCTATCGGTCCGTTGAACTATGTGGGTCGCGTTCTGTTGGAGTTGCGCTCTGAAACTCTACAGGAAGGTCATCCCACGCACGTTTTGATTACCGAATCGGTGACTCCTCCAGCCAACTGGTCAGATCAGTCTTTTATTGTGGAGTTCCTGCCAATTCTCGGAGATAATATACCCACCAGCTCGCAGCAGTATAAATTTGTTGTCCAGCTTGCGGAGTTTTTCTCGAATGAGCTAGAGGGGCCATTGAGGGCGCCATCGGGAAAATTTCGTTCGCAAACGAAATCCTTTCGCCAGGAATCGCCTTATCAGTCTTGTATATTCCGTATCCACCTGCCCGATAATCGCATCAAATTTGAAGCGGATTTCTTTATGACTGATATAGCCAACTATATGGTAAGGCCCATGCGATAAGTGCTAACCCGACCCCTTAATCCTATCTTTCTTAGCGCTCTGAGCTGGCCACCTTTAAGATCTTTCAGCTCAAATACCCCAATCACATACAACATCAGACCAAATGCCTGAAGTCCATTATCCATAGCTTCCTTTCAAAAATCGAAGAAAGCGTGGGTTTGCACCGCTTCGACTACGATATGGGGGAGGAGTGCACCACCTGGGATTTGAATAGACAGCAATACGTGCTGTCTTACTTCAGAAAGGTGCCCCAGGAGCTGCGCTCGTTGCGACAGAGACTGAAGTCGAGCTACTCCTCGAATATGGATTCCACCATAATGGACATAGTTAACGAACTGCACCGTGTAATTGGGGAAATCAATTCGCTGTCTAATTTAATGCACGTGCAGGACGAATGGCCGGAGCTGCTGCTCACCCTGAGTGCAGGGGGCAAACAGATTGGGTTCTGTCACCTGAATGCCAAACACTTCCTGAGTCTGCAAAAGCGGGAAGTCAACCAGGCGAGCAATCATTGCTGGCGCATGAAGAGCTTCTTCTTCAAGAGCAGCAGCTGCTCGCACACCTGCTCCAACTGTGGCTGCAATGCTGGCCTCGTCCTCGGCTGTATCGCAATAGTGCTCGAGAGTGAGCGGCACGAGTTCCTGTCCCGCATTGCGGGTGAGTGGTCCTCGCCCTCGCCCTACACTTGGCTGCCGAATGTGGGGCAAACGTTCTTCCGCTGTCATATCTATGTGCATCAGGCGAAGATACGGCCGGGCAGCGATAATAAGGTCGAGTGCGATGGATATGTGCGCGTTATCTTTGCATCGCAGGTGGCTGAGACGGACACAGCTAAGAGCATCTGTTCGCCCATCTGGGATGCTGTGATCACCGTGAATGGCGTGTCCCTGCCGGGCGGCGTCAGCTGGTATCTGCAGAATCCGCCGCTGCTCGGCTTGGAGCTCTTCAACTGTCAGCAGGAGTCAGTGGGCACTGGGCAGATCAAGGCAAATGTCATCACGGCGGAGCAGAGCGATGAGAGCAGCCGCGGCGATGAAAGCAAGTATTTGGCCCAAGGTACTCTTCAGAGGCTCAAAACGCTGAGGAATGTCAGTCCGCCTCCTCTTAAGTGGGTTTCCATTGCCAAAAATGGAAGAGTCCAGGCTGAACTGTTAATGTCGGTGGAATTGAAGCAGCTGGTAGGCGATACGCAGATCTTTGAGTATAAGGAACCGGAGCTGACGGCAGGCATACCTCCCTCTATACGACCCAATATGCTCAACTACGTGTAAGTCTTAACTACTAAACATAAACATAAAGTTCCCTCTAATACCCAAGGAGCTAGGCTCGAGATTATTTTTGTTGGACTGCGCAACTATACTAAGGTGGGCATGTGCATGGCGGGCAAGCGACGGGCCAAGGTCATCATGGCGGATCTGGTCTTAACTAGTGGACTCTCTACCTCGCGGGTGAGGAACAGCATCAACTTCCTGGTGGCCTACGCCTCCGGCGTTGTGGTGGGTAACCTCACACTCATTTGAAATGCTCTCTGATAGCTATGTAGAACCTTGCAGAGCCTGCCCGATCAGCAGGAATACTGGCCGGCTATAATAGCCACGGATGTTTTGGCCAGCAGCTTCTCCCATGAGTCTACCTTAGGCGCTGCCCTAATACCCCCCTCGCCAAACTTTCTGCAAAAAGATCGACTGAACAAATGCATGCGAAAGCCGGTCGAAAGTCCCGGTACCAATTCAATAATTGTTATAAATCAAGACGAAACGACGGAGGACGACGACAGAAATATTCCAGTGGAGGAGGGGCCCGTCTTCTGGAAGCGTCTGAAGATCATGTTGGGCTTACGATCCGCCCCCTATGCCAACAAGAATCTACTTAGACTAGAGGATTGCAGGGACTTGACTGAAGTCGTGGATAGTCGATTCACGTGGTGGACCAAGTTCTACAACTCCATGTGGATTGGAAACGACGATGGATTGCATAAATGCAAGCACAAACTGGTCATCTACAGTACAGAGCTCGAGAAGCAGCCTCAATTCAGTTACTTTCAGGATTGGGCTGTGCCCGTGCCCCTGGTGCATGGCGTCAAGATGAAGAAGCATGGACCCCCTAAAGAGGACGTCTATGCCATACTGAAGCTGCAGATTAAGCTGACGCCCTGTGAGAGTGCGAAGACTGAGGATGGAGTTGGCGATGGGGAAGTGTTGCTGCCATTGCCGGCTGCTCTAAGTCCGCGTGATCAGAGCCTAATCAAATCGCTGACCGATGTAGTCAAACTGACAGTCAGGGTTTACGTAGTACAGGGTCTCCAAATCCGGCCTAGAGATTGGTTTACCGACTCGGATACGTATGTGCGCCTCACACTGGGCGGCAAGATGATCTCAGATCGTGCACACTATGTGCCCAACCAGAGTAATCCAGTCTTCGGGCGTTTCTTCGAGCTAAGCACAACGCTGCCCGCCGATCCCATGCTGGAGCTGGCCCTGTTCGATCATGACAAGCGCAAAGACGGAAACATAGGCTACACTCTCATCGATCTGGAGGACCGCTGGCACAGCAAGCATCGCGCCACATTGGGCATTCCACTGGAGTACTCACGCTTCGGCTACAACCAGTGGAGGGACCCTCTGCTGCCCTCCCAGCTGCTTGCGGAGCTCTGCCAGCAGCGAGGCATTCCGCCTCCCTATTA